AACAACATTTACTGTTGTCACATTCAATGAAATTCCATCTCACTCAAGTTAGAATAGCCATCATCAAGAATATAAACAACAGCAAATATTGGAGAGGATGTGGGAGAAATAGGAACCCTAATAAATATTGGTAGGAATGTAAACTAGTGCAACAACTATGGAAATCGGTATGGAGGTTTTTAAAACACTAACCATAGTTATCACAGAAATACCACCCTTGGGGATTTTTCTGCAAGAGTGGATGCCACTTGACAAATGAATAGAGAAAGCAGATGCTTTCAATGTATATCCTATAGGAAAACTGAGGGGAGTTGGGAGGGATAGGGGGAAAATGATGGAAGAAGAGATGCTAAGTAGGATTTATTTTACTTAAAAAAGATATGGTCAATGGTAATCTTTTTGTACAATTACTTAATGACAATAAAAATACAATTTAATTAAAGACTGTGGCAGGATACAACAAATGTACCTGAGCACCCATGTTTAGCATAGCACAGTTCACAATAGTCAAGTTATGAAAATGGATGAATGGATCAAAATGTGCATAAATAGATAGATAGATAGATAGGTTGATTGACTGATTGATAAATAAATAGTATGTTATTTTAGGGAAATAGATGAACCTGGAAAAATTATACTAAGTGAAATAAGTCAGAGAGATAAAGGATGGGTATTCTTTCATGTTAGGTCTTAAACATAAACATATATGAAAATTCATTCAGGGTCATGTTCATATATACATAGTAAAAAACTGACTAAAGTATATGACAAACAGAACTGGATTTCTATAGTGTAACCCCTTTGAACAATTAACAGACACTTTAACAAAATAAATACTAGGAAACCAAAACATCTGTTCTGAATGGGGTGAGAGTTAAGGTAAGGAGGATGAATAAATGGAGAGAGGAATGATGTGTAAATACAAGCATAACACTCAATGTTCATATGGGAAATGTAAGATGAAAACCTGACAGAATGGATAGGAATTAGAGTAGTGGGGAATGGGAAGAGAATAATGGAAGGGCTAACAGAGATCAAGATGCAGTGTTCTTATAACTTCACATGCTGAATTCAAATCTCTTTCTGCAATTATTTCATGATATTAGATATATGATGTAAAAAAATCACTTGAGAAATGAATACAAGCCCAAGTTGTCTGGTAATCATTAAAGGTAACCAGTCCTTAAGGTTCAAACTGATTTTGGTAAAACAAATCTAATCTTGCACCTTTGAATGAAATGGCACATTTATTTCATTATATGATTCATTGAATTTACCATGGACATAATCATTCCTTTTTGTTTTTTTCTTATATTTGTATTCTCCTTCCAACATATATTGTAGTTGAGGATTTTAATTGATCATTTCTGTCATTCTTAATCAATGTATAGACTTCAGTGAAATCAATAATAAAGTGTATAATGATATTACATCAGAAGTTACCAATTAATGTATTGTTTTCCCAATTCTATGTTCATTTAGGTTTATTTGAACATATAAAATATAAATGTTCAAAATATAAAATATCTATGAGATATCTGAATGATATCAAAATGATCCTGATAACAAATCCTCCAAACACATATATAAGAAGGGCATGAAAGAATCATTTATGCCATGCTCTTGGAGAATGTATTGATTCTTTCCAAATCCTCCCACTGAGAAATCTTCTTTACTTAGTTTTGTCATTCTCCAACAGTTCTAAACAAAAAATAGCATGCAAGTAATGTATATGCTAAAAATGTCACATTGTTGAAAGGGACTTGAGTTATTTTATTTTAATTTTTAAATATTAAATTTAGTTTTCAGGCAGGAGATTGAATCTAGGGCCTGGTTTATCCTAAGCACTTGCTCTACCACTGAGCTATACTCCCAACCTTGTTTTATTTTCAAATCATATAATTATGTCCTAAATGCCATATGTTAGTTCTGTCTAGTATTTTTTTTCTGCTTATGTGGTGCTGAGGAATTGAACCCAGGCCTCATGCATGCAAGGCAAGCGCTCTATCACTGAGCCACCTTCCCAGCCCCAGTATATTTATTTTTTAATCTATTAACTACTTTGAATCTTTAAACTTCAACTTCCTGGAATATAATAATAAAAAGTAGATCTCAGATCTTAAAAGTGCTTGGTTTCCTTGATCTAGGTTGAGGAAAATGAGAAAAAGAACTATCAAGGGAATGGTTTCTCACACATAATTTTTCTATCCATGCCTCTCATTCCTAAAGCTTTATTATAAGGAAAACATATTTACATATTTATGTTGATTTTGAAATAAATGATTTACGTCATATAATTATTTATACATTACATTTCTAAGTAATAGTCAAGATAGTCTTCAATTATAATTTAAAAGAAGGCATATTTCAAGTATGAGTGAATGCATAATAAAATATTTTCAATTTCAGAAAATAATCCTTTACCAGAAAGTAAGGATTAGTTCCATTAGTTTTTACACTGATACATCCTAAGGCTTTTTAATGCTTTTTTTAAAAATGATACTTATATTTTTTATGAGAGAAGCAGTAAAGTTCTTTCATTAAGTGATTTCTACAAGAAGAGCTTCAGGTGCAATTTCCCTTTGCTTTCTTATAAGCCAAGTGTGAAGTCTGTTATTTTAGGTACAAATGCTCATGCAAAACATTCATAGGTAGATTCATGTAGTACAGTCTTATTTCAAGTAATGCGTTACAACCATGTGCTTCCAGCTAAAAATGAGCTAAAAAAAATAACATCCTGAAAGCTACAAAATAAAGAGTAAGATAAAGCTCGGCAAATAGGGAAAATAAACATAGCAATGTGTTGGATGGTCTGAGTAAGAAGTCTGAATTATGACGAGAGAGGTCACACTCAGCCCACAGCCCATTGTGTTAGTAATGAGCAACAGGTGGATAAAAAGGAACAGCATGGTAGTGGTATTCTTCCCCATGCCTGCCAGATGGCATATCTACAAAGACGGAATCGCCTGGCCACAGAGCCAATTATCAAACCTGATGGAAGGTTTTTTTTTCAAATAAGTCATTACATTTTATCTATTTCATATGCTTCAAGGTCGGCATTGGCTTAAAAGATCTTAATAAATCATTTGTTTACACTTCCAGGCAGGTTTTGATGAACTTTGCTACTGAGATGATGCAAAAGTACCTGAAAAATATTAAGCTGATCAAATAGTCTACTCTCTATAGAAGTTAGCCGCATGATTTCTAGAATACTTGGTTGAAATCAAACATGTTTGCATATGGTCCACGTATCAGCTGCTCACTTTTCAATAATTCAACAAAGCAATTAAAAAATTCAGACAACACTAAGATATTAAATATTAAAAACTTACTTTAGAGAGGAAAGTCTAACACACAGGACACACACACATATATTTAAGATTTCTAAGTAGTCATTAAATAATGTCAAAAGGAGAAGCATGGCTCAAATACTAATTTTTCCATATCTTTCCTAAGTAATGGCATGGTCAACAGAAATTCTCTCCAAGTACCATTCACGTGTTTGCTGACTTTTGGTTGTGCTTAACATGACAATAAATAAATAGGCCAAAGGTTTGCTTCTATGAATACCCATTTTGCAGTAAAATGCTGTTGAAGCTTTGTTTATGAGGCATGTAAGACCAAGTCCTCTATTAACTATTACTATTAACAATTCTTTTTTTCTGCTCATGTCTCATTCCAAAGTGTTAAGAAGCTCCAGTTTATGTTTACAATAAAATTACCTTTGCTTAAGAATCCCTTTAAGGGATCTGGCTTGCTAGCTCCTTCATAAAGGGTTGGTGGGAAAAGGGAGGTTCAAATACAAGGTGGGGGTGTGTGGGGGGGAACAAGATGAAAAGTAGCCCAGGCTGCCATTTATCTGCCATTTATCTTCCCGAGTCGAGTCGTGACAGGCTGAGCTCAAGAAGGAACTTAGCTCGTCCATACCTAGTGCACTGCAGATGGACTCCTAACAGATTCTCCCAAATGTCAGTGCAAGGTTTGGCACTGTATCTGTGCGGGTTTTTCAGGGTGGGCCATGGAGGTCTCCCCTCCGAACCACCAAGTTGAATGCAGACAGATGACAGCTCCTAGCCTGAGTCCAATGCGATGAGAGGGGAAAAATAAACACGACTCCCAGAGCCTGGCCACTGGCTGCGAGTCTCTAGAAACCGGTTCCCCTGAACGCCTTTTTAAGAAACTCCGAAGGGATTCTACATGTTAACTCTTTCACTGCGGGCACCTGCATGCGCCCCCCCCCCTACCTTTACCCCTCTCCACATTTCTAACAGCCCTGATTCTTTTTATTTATTTTTAAAAGAGAGAACACGTAATCCAAGGCATTGCTAGACACGTTCTGGGCTCAAGTTAAGGCTGAACTGCTCCTCGGATGGGTCGTTTTATGTAATCGGGAGCGGGTTCGTTCCGCCTGGGTGGAGAGGCACAGCCCAGCAGCAGACGTCTACCTCTCCCCGCTCGCGTCCCCAGCCCTCCTCTCTCCAATTCCTTAATGGAGCACCCGGAACCAGATCGATCGCCGTTACTTTTAGAACAAGGCAACGCGCAAAGGCACGTCGGCTGCGTGCGCCAGGGCCAGAAACACCCTCCAAAAGTTGAGAAGGCAGAAAGCCTGAACTTTACAGGGGTGGGGTGGGAGCGGGGGAGGACGGGGGAGGCTGTGGGGGCTCGGCAGGGAGTGCGGGGGGAGGCAGAGCAGGAACGGGGGTGACCTAACTTCTGTGCATCCAGCCAGCTAGTCCTGCCTTAGGCCAGTCAGGAATTGGGTAGTGGGGTGGGGTGCGGGGAACGACAGTAGAACTGCTAAGTTCTCCCATGGCGGGGCTCATCAGTCCCCTCCCCAAATTCCTCTTTTCTAGGAGCACCGAGCCCACACTCCCCACCCACCCGTGACCGCGGTGCTTGGTGATACCCGCCTGGGAGCAGACAGCGCCCCCCCACACCCCCAGCGCGCGCGGAGCAGAGGGAAGGGGGGGGGACGGACACGGCTGCGCAGCACTTACGTCTCGGAATTTGTTCCACTGTCCGACTTCCTTGTCATACTGAGAGATGGTGGTGAGCCATTGTTGATCATCCAGAAAATTACCACCGTCCGACCGCCCCCCGGCCGCGGCCAGCGCCACGGCCGCCGCCAGCGCCTGACCGCACCAAGCCGCGACACACACACACACCACGGCCGACACCTTGAACATCTGCGAGCGAGACACAGCCAGGGGGGCAGGGCAGAGTCAAAGAAGGGGGTACCGAGGTCGGGAGGGGAGGGGGTCCCCCTGGAAAGCATGCATCCGCAACACCGGGGCAGACCGGGGAGACAGGCTGGCACGCCAGCGGGGAGGTGGGGGGAATCCTATCCTTGCAGGCTAGATCCCCCCTGCGCCCCCCAAACCCAGGGACCCAAGGGAGAAAGAAGGGGTGCAAAAGAGGGAGCCCCCGCCGCAGTAGCCGCACTCCCCCCCGCCCCGCAGCAGGCACAAAGCCGCCTTCCTGGCCCCGCACCTTGTTGTGCGCCCGCGCCGCCGGGATCGCAGCTCCTGCCTGGCAACGCAGCCCGGCTGTGCCAACGCGCGGCTCGCGGGCGCTGCTGCGGCT